TAAGTTGTTCAAAATCCAGAACAAGAACAAACCATAGTATTACTATATTTTATAAGTACCAGTATATAAAATTTATCTTCTTAACTTTGTTTTATGTAGTTTTTTTGTACTAATCTTTTGAATTTGTTTTTGAACTCGTCCAACGATTTACTCATTTTCAGATCCATCTCAAGCTTATTCCACAGATTAACTCCTATTACTGATACACATCTTTGCTTGATGTTTGTTCTTGTTCTGGATTTTTTGTATTGATTAATACCTCTTAGATTATAACAACTATCTCTGATTTCAAAAAGCTTCTGGATATTTTGACAAAGGAGATTGTTATGTGCTTTATACATTAATTGGGCAATTTTGAAGTCAACCAGGTCATAGAATTTCATTGTATTTGATTTGATGAATAGTGGATTTGTGGGTTCGATATATTTAGACCAATTGATTATTCTGATTGCTTTTTTCTGTAGTTTTAAGACAGGGAGTGTGTTTGATTTACAGGCGTTACCCCATATTTCCACACAGTAGGTCATATATGGGAGTAATAATGAGTAATATAATGTGTACAAGGAACTCATATTCAACACATCCTTAGTTTTATGGAGTATCCCGATGGTTTTGGATATTTTCCTTTTAACATTATCAATATGTGGCTTCCAGGATAGTTTGGTGTCTATTACTAGTCCAAGAAACTTATTTTCATAAACTCTTTCTATTTCAATTGAATTTATCTTTATTTTAACTTGGTCTTTAATAGGTCTCGTACCAAAAATAACTAACTTAGTTTTTGTTAAATTTAAAGATAGTTTATTTCTGTCGAACCAGTTTTTTAATTTGGTTAATTCATTTTCCACAGTTTTCAGGAGTTGTTCCATATTTTTTCCACAGCAGTAGAAGGTTGTGTCATCAGCGAATAGGACACATTTGAATTGTTTTGTAACACTACAGATGTCATTTATATATAGAATGAATAATTTTGGTCCAAGCACTGATCCCTGTGGCACTCCATGGGTAATCTTCAGTGAGTTGGATTTTTGGTTGTTGAATTGCACATACTGATATCTATTTTCTAAATAACTTTCAATCCATTTATATGCTATGCCTCTGATACCATATCTCTCTAATTTATTCAATAATATAGTATGATCTATTGTATCAAAAGCTTTCTTCAGCTCCAAAAAAATCCCAACCGTGAATTCCCTATTGTCTATGTTAGTTGCTATTGCTTCCACAAACTCCATTACTGCCATTAAGGTTGTACGTTTTTCTCTGAAGCCATATTGATTTTCACTTAACAGCCCGTGTTTGTTTATAAAGTTGTCAAGTCTGTGAGAGAATAATTTTTCTAATATTTTTGAAAATTGTGGTAGCAGTGATATTGGTCTATAATTTGTGAATAATTTTTTTTCTCCACTTTTAAAAATTGGAATGACTTTAGCTATTTTCATTTTTGATGGAAAAATACCTGCTTGAAATGACAAGTTGCATATGTATGTAAAAGGTCGCACTACAATTTCTATGATCTGTTTTACTATTGTCATATCAATATTAAAACAGTCAGTTGATTTTTTACTTTTATATGTTTTTACAATATTTAATATTTCATTTTGATTCACTGCAGTAAGAAACATTGTGGAAGAATTTTTTTCTATGTATTTATCTATTTCAAAAGAATTTATTGGATCAGGAATTTTTTTTGCTAAGTTGCTGCCAATATTAACAAAATATTCATTAAATTCCTTTGCTATTTGTGCAGTATCCTCAATAATGGTATTTTTATCTTTCATAAAGTACTCCGGATAATCGACTTTACTAGAGCTATTTCTAATTACCTGATTTAAGATTTTCCATATTTCTTGAGTGTTGCTTTTATTTTGCTCCAATAATGTATGAAAATGGTCTCTCTTGCTGGTTCTTATAATGTTTACTAATTTATTTTTATAAGTCTTGTATTTTGTTTCAGCTTCTTTGGTTCTGGATTTTAAAAACGATTTGTATAGATTGTTTTTCTTTTTACATGCATTTTCTATACCTTTTGTTATCCATGGCTTACTTTGGTTTTTGTACTTTCTGGTGACCTTAATTACTGGGAAATGCTTGTCATATAAGGAGGTTATGGTTGACTGAAATGCGTCAAACACAGTATTTGGATCTTCATTTGAGTAGACCTCAGACCAATTTTGTTCGTCTAAGTCTAGCTTAAAAGCTGCGATGGAATGTTGGGTTCTGAGTCTTATTTCTGATATGTGGGTTATTGATTTCGTTTTTCTATCAAAATAATTATGAAAGACTGCAAAGACCGGTACATGGTCACTTATATCAGTTATGAGAAGTCCACTTTCCTTGTTATGATCAATATTATTTCTAAATATATTATATTGTGCGGGGTCTCAGAATGACTGTGTAAAGACCGTTGCTATACATTATATTTATGAAATCTATTTTTTTTTTGTGTCCATTTGGGTTTAATAAGTCGATGTTAAAGTCGCCACATATTATTCGTGTTTTCTTATCATTAGAACAACTTAGCATATCTGTCAGTTTTTATTAAATGTGTCAACACAAGATCCTGGTGTCCTATAAATGTAACTTATAATAACATTTGATGCATTTTTAATATGTATTTCAAGAGTTAGGCATTCCATTAGATTCTCTGTTGTGTTTGTCAGGCTCTCAATTTTACTGCATTTAAGTGCTTTGTCTACATATATTGCGACTCCCCCTCCTTTTTTGTCTTCCCTATTAGTTGCATACATTTCATATCCTTCAATTTTCATTTCACTTGTTTTTTCATCATCAAGCCAAGTATCTGATATGGCAATTATTGTAAATTTATTGAATGTAGTCAAATATTCTTTGATTTTGGTGCAATTTTTATGAAGACTTCTACTGTTTAAGTGTATCACTGAAAGTGTATTTTTCAGCTCTACATTTGTGTTGAATTGTTCGTCCGTATCATACTTTGAGTTTGTGATGCTGTGATTATGATTGAAGAAATTATTGTCTGGGTCCAAGTTGTTTTCAGGGTCGAATGTCTTGTGGTCAGCATAATCAAAAGTTTTGAAGTCCATGTTTATGTTGTGTGTTTCCTATATCAGTTAAGTCAGAGTTTTTTGTCTGGTGGTGATCAGTTCTCAGCATGGTGAACTCGAGCCCGTTGAATTGGAGTACTGGTGCGGGGGTGGACTATGAGTTTGTCGTGCCTCAAGTAGGCAATTTCCCCTATTTCCGTGCAGCTTTTAGTTTTGGAAGCAGTTCTTTTCTTTTTTGAC